TATATATATATATATTACAGGTTAGCGTAAATTGTAAAAGTTTCGTGCCTTCGATCCGCTACGATTTTTCCTTCCGCGTGCATCCTTCGCAAGCTCTTTCCGTTCAACCCTCGAATGGCGGGACAATCGTGCCGGTGAGGGAGGTAGAGAGAAGGTGGTTAAGGTTGATGGGTTATCGGTCCTTCGAGCTCGAGACTAATAGATGGATTTACGGTATCAGCGGGAGAAAGGGGGGGGGGGTGACGCAGGGAACCTTGTAATTAGCCGTCGACCGGTGCGTTATGGCTTTACGGGGATCTTATCCCGTTGGTGTATTTCCACATCGTTTTTCGAGCACTAATCTCTCCCTCGCTGTGCACCTTCATCACTGCTGGACGGATTATCTTGGAAAAGCTATTACTACGGTGTTGAGGGAAGATGAGCTAATTAAAATAATCGATTTCGCAGCGAGTCCACTCGAGTTTAGAGATCAAAAAAAAACAAGGGGGGGGTTACAGCAAGGATTCAATTTTAGCGGCGGGGGAAGGGGGAGGTGAGATCGATCGGGGATGGAAAAAGTGCACCTCGGGACAAAGGAATGCTGTCAACAGAGACGTAGAAAGAGATTTAAACATTTTGAGTTTATGTGTTTCGCGAGGGAAACAGAGGAGCTGATTTTGTTGCAATAGTTTACTTTTTGATTGCTTGTTTACTTCTGTATCCGACACAAATTATTTCAACTTGTAAGCAGGGAAACGAAAAAATTGTCAATCCATTTTATTGGCAAAATCATAACTTTTACACAACTGGGTTTCGTAGTGTCGTGTTTTAATTAGTCACCATCTGGCGAACAAAAGCGCAAAGAGTATTTATTTGAATAATTTGACGTCACCGATTTTATTGCTTAATTTCCAAATTTAATGGCACACCTATATATGTGTACCGAGTGCGTATAATAAACGCCGTGTGAAACAATGTCACAACTGCAAGTAGAGCCAACAATGGTTACAGGGGATTCGCGATTGAAACATTAATATTTTATCGTATACGCTTTGTTCGAATGATTGTCGACTGCATAAATTACATGTGTGTACGAGGCGGTGCGTAAAATCCACACCAATAATGCAAGGTGTCAATTATTTTTGGATAAACGGTACCGATTGCAGAAAAAAAAAAAAAAAAAAAAAAAAAAAATAGAAAGACTAGATTGTCAAATGTAATTTGTGGATCGAGCAAACACTATGATGTGCAATCCAAGTGGCTCGATAAATAACATTCATTGACAAATATGTTAACAGGAGAAACAAATGGGCATACTAATGACTCCGATGCACGAAATCGAACAAAAGCAAACTCGTGTCGATCGAAGGGAAAAAAGCGACTGTACGAACGGTTGGCTACCCTAAAAAACTTACATCTCCGGGTACAATTTAATTCCTCACCATCAGCAAGAAAAGCCGCAATGAAAAAATTTCCCTCGGAAATCTCGGCTGCAACCACTCGCGCTCACGCTGAGCACAAATTTGACAAATACAGCGTACGGTGCACGCCCTCGAGCATCAGCGGCACACAAGCGCCAGCGTAGTAAGAATAATAATTCTTTTCTTGGCTCGGAATTGCGAGAGGGGGAGCGCCCGCTTCCGCGGTGCAAGATCTCGCTCGCGAGCTAAGCAAGACGCGAATCAACGTTAATTCGACGCGCGCTCGCGTGCGGTGCCACCGGAGATAGTGAACATTTCGCCCTCCCCCCTGAAGACAGAGACTTATTATATTGCGGCTTGGGTCGCGGAGGCTGCCGCTCTACTTGGCAACTCGCGTCATTCGCCCTTGTTGCCCTCGTTGCCTCCTCCTCTCAACCCTTTTGTGCTTTGCGCGTGCATATTGAAAAAGTTACGGGCCCGGGGAATATTTGTCTCTCTCTCTCTCTCTCTCTCTCTCTCTGTCTTTTCTTTGAGCTGCAGACTCGGTGTGTGTGTGTGTGTGTGTGTGTGTGTGTACATCACTCGAGCGAGAACAAGAAGAAGATTTGTGCCGTGGCGCGAAGAGCTTTGACAATTATGTGCAACAGACGAGCTACGCTTGTCTCTAGCGTTATTGCGGCGGATTTTTCTTTCCCCACTTCTTCTTCTTCTTCTTCTTCTTTTGAAGAGGTTGAAAAAGGGGGTGGTCGTTATACCTACATTTTTTCTCCTATACTGTCGAGAGTACGTGTTTTGGAACTCTACCTTTGGAATCTTTGCTACGGACACTATTACATAATATTTATGAGGGAGACATATTTTCATCGCAACGAATTTTACTGGACGTTCGCTCATTAACTTTCATTACCATCCGTACACACGCAACTTGCACCTCTATTGGGCACATCAGATTTACCACATGTTGTATTCACATCACCATGGTACAATCGCTTCAATGGTACAATATTGTGAACACGAAACTGAAGACATGTTTTTACTAAACTCTTATGAATTTTTTTGTACGTGATATGTGTACCTGCGAAATATAAAGGGCAGGCAAGAAAAAACAAAAAAAAAACTATATGTTCTCACGCGTACATGATACGCCTTTGCATACACGCGCGAGTACCCTCTAAACGGAGGGGCACAAGTAGGCGCCAATTGGCCGAAAAAGGTTCGAGGAACCTTTCCATTTTCCGTTAGAAGGAAAATCAGAGCGGGAGACGAGAGAAGAGTGACAAAAAATCTGAGTTGTGACGACGGTGTCGCCGCTACGGCTCTACTCGTGGCACACTTTCGCGATGAAAAAAGCAAAAGTCCTCTGCGGGTCTTATTCCGTGCAACTTTGTGGATCAGTTGCTTTTGTGACACAACATCAACACTCGTTGTAAATCTGATACTAAGTTATATTATTGTATGGTAAGCCCCGCAAAGTACCCCTCACCGTAAACCGATCACACAACAAAAGTGGTCAACAAGCGCAGGGACTCGCTTTGTGCCTCCTTTTCATGCTAATCTCGACGGAGCATGCCAAGATTATAGTTACGGCAAAAGCTCCATGAGCTTTCAAGTCGACGAGAGCATAAGTAAAAAAAAAAAAAAAAGCATATTATGTGTAACTGGATAGAGGTCGTCGCATACATCTGAGCCCAGCGACAGGATTACGCGTCACAAAAGCAAGCAGGAAAACTGACTATCTCGAGACTCTGCTACGAGTGAAAGCTTTGACATATCGTGTCTCTGTGCATTAGCCGCTCCTGTAGGTAAACACTGTGTAAATTAAATCGTATTCTAATCAGGTGCTTTTACAAACGTAAGCCAGGACAACGGGATAACATTAGTTTTTTCAATTTTACGTTCCAGGTCATGACTGTTGAACCCTTGTGTGGATTTCCTTGGAAACCTTTGAAGTTTGTGCAAAATTAATGAGAGTTTTTCATTAAATCCTTGTAAAATCTCTCAAAAACTTGGTAAAAATGTTTCTTCAATTTAACATTGATGAAAAAAAAATCCTTCGTTAATCATTTATACGCAATCCTCGTGAATTCACTTAAAAGTCCTTGAAATCCGTGCGAATGGTTGTTGAAAGAAAAGTTGAACCACGTAATTCTGTGTCAACGCGTACCTATTAGCTGTTTGTACAGCTCAACTAGGATACCAAGAAAAGGGATGGAAACGGGGAGAAAGGAAGAGAGACGGATAGAGTTGAATTAAGGGCTGAATCGAGGCTCCAACTCTATAACTTTCGGACTGTCTCTTTGGAACAATCGCGAGAACTTGAATATGTATGGGTCCGTGGACGTGTATCGGGTATTACACATAGATATAGAGCATATGTACACGTATTGTCGAGCTAAGAGGGATGCCATTGCTTCGTCCTGGAAACTTTAAACTAAATTAAAGTAAACTAATTTGTCGCTCTTTGCCGGAGGCAGTGCATATATATATGTACCTAAAATCGATATTCGACTACTTCGTTCTTGGAATTATTTTCGATCGCTGAGAAAAGGATATTAATCCAACCGAGGGATGAAGGAGGCCAGAAGGTAGAGAAGATGGCTCACTGACACCAGTCGATATTCGGAGGGATCGAAAGAAAAAAAACTAATTCCATTCACAAGATCGAGGGTTTCGTTGCTTTATTG